CAAAGCATGTGTATGATGTTGGAATCTGGGTATTTATCAGTTGGTATGTTTATGTCACACTTCCTTATCCATGGATGTCTCTCAATGTCTTCAATAGAGGGCCTCATCTCTGGGGAAACTGTGAAGAGCTGGTGAATTAGGTTTTCAAGTTGTGCAGAGAAGTTAGATGGAATTTTATAGGTCCCCATGATGATCTTATTCTCCATCTGTTTCCTGGTGCTTCCCGTGAAGGGGTAGTACCCAGTGGTGACAAAATACAGTAGCACTCCCAAACTCCACACATCTGTCTTCCTGCCATCGTATAGCTCCCCTAGTACCAGCTCTGGTGCATAAAATTCCTTGGTCCCACACTTCCGTTTGAGTAAGCTGCCAGGTCTGCGCTTGATGGACAGCCCAAAGTCTGTCAATTTCACAGTGCCCTCTGCATCTATCAATACATTTTGGGGTTTAATATCTCGATGGATAATGCCAAGGTTGTGGCAGTACTTCGTGGCTGCCACTATCTCCCCGAATATTGTCTTTGCCTCTTCCTCCTGCAGTGGGCCCTTCTCCTGTATTAATTCAAATAAGCTTCCTCCCGGAGCATACTCCATTACAAAGTAAATGTGGCTTGATGTTATTATTACCTGAAAGAGGCGGATGATGTTAGGATGGTTTAGTGTCTCCAAAATTGCTCTTTCTGACAGTATAATGCTGATGTTCTTCTTGGTGATCTGTACCATTTTTATGGCAACCAGGGCGTTGGTTTTCAAGTGCCAGGCCAATTTCACAGTGCCAAATCCACCCTCGCCAAGATGGAGGAGCACTCTGTACTGACTCCCCAAATTCTCCTTTTCAGAATTGCTGGCCATGAGGCTAAGTGTTCCCTGTGCTCTGCTGCACACAGGTTGTAAGATACAACGACCAACCCAAGAACTAACAAACTAGACAGCTATGAAGGAGTCTCACAGGTCACCAAAAACAGCTCCCTGTTCTGTATGGACAAATACAGCAGGCTGGTCCACAGTCTTATACAGAGGACACTCATTCTTCCATCACAGTGGTTCTTTGTGAGGTCAGAGCACAAAGTGCACCAATCAGAGAAGGTTATAACCTATAGTGGCTATCCTCTATCCTCCCTCTGGCCCAGAGAGATCTTTCTATTCTCATGAAATTGAGACTAGCCTCTATCAGCTTCTTCTTCAGCAGATCAAAGAGACAGATGTTTTCTTGTTTAGCAATTACAGGCAGCAGAGTGCATTTGTGGCCTTTGTAGCTGGATACTGAGTATGTCAACCATCTGGACTTTCAAGGATGAAGTGCATATTGGACAAGTGTTCTCAGAGAGAGGCTAAGTCATCACAAAATGTAGCTGGGAGTTTTTCTACCCAGCCACTTTATTCTCAGAGTAAGACTCTGAGACTTAATTATTCACAAAGAAATACCTAGCCCATAAGCTTTGGCCAGGGTCCCAGCTAGGTTGTAAGTGATATAACCCATTTATTCTAGTCTGTGTCTGCCACATGGATGGTTATCTCTCCTGAGATTCATGTTTCTGTCTTGCTCAGGGTTCAAGGCCAATCTGCAGGTCTTCACTGTTTCCCGGAGTCCTATCTCTCTCTGTCTCCTGTCCCACCTTCTATTGCTTAATTGGCTATCAACTTTTTACTGACAATTCATGCTTGTACACAGTACCAAAGATATTCTCTGTCTATACCCCCCTCCATAGTTCAACTAAATGCCCGTCTCTAACATCAGTAAACTACAATCCAGAGGAACAACTGTGAAAACCAGCAGATAAGACTTACATTCACATTGTCATTCTATCTGTACTTGGCCACATTGGGAAAAAGTACTCTACAATGAGAACTAGCTTGGTGATTTGGTTTGAGTTTCTATACAGACATCTTTTTTTTTTTTTTATCAACAATGCATTTATAAACCTAAGAATATCTCCTTAGACCTTAAAACATTTTTTTCAAATCCTGAAAAATTTAAGCTGAAATATGAGACTATGACTACCTAGTTTTCAATCCCATCAGAGACCTCAGGAGTTAAATGGCCCAAGTATCCTGAAAGTACAGCAAAAGTAGCTTCCAAATCTATAGAAATGAAAGAGACGTCTGCTTGCACAGACAGTCACTCACAATGTCTATAAGTCTTTGGAGCATCCATCTTTAGCCTTGTGGCCTAGACTATCTGACAGACTTACTTCTCTGTAAAACAGGAATGGTGAAGGACTTCTTACCTTCTCCTAGTAGGACATGGCCATCGACTTCCCTGCAGCTTATTTATCCACAGCTTAGACAGCATTCTTTCTGCAGTTTATGCAAGCACAATTTCTTGCCTAGTGTCTAGCTTGTGACATTTGAAGTAAACTTCATATAGATGTTCTTCAATGCTCATCATCTTTTTTGAAGTAGTGTCTGTGTGATGCCAGGAACAGACATATCTCACTTTAATAGCATTTTATTAAGAAAACATCTTTAATCGGCACATTCTGTAGATGTTTGAGATTTTTGAAGACTATCTATAGTATATATGAATTTCGTGTTTGTAGATAACTATCTGCTTAACATGAGATACATTTTCTGTAATCAACAATGCTTGTATTGAACAAGCCCATAAGTTTGATTGACTATTAACTTGCATTTCTTAATTGTCCTAGACATTTTGCAACAGCAGCCTTCAAGGGTTAGAACTTCACATTACATAGGTACAATACCTTAAAGAGTGTTGAAACGTATATACACAGTATATTCTTGCAAATAGAATAATTCTCTGTATCAAGGTACAAAGTCCGTAGCAAACGTGGAAATATTTGGCTTGTGGATTTAATAATCTACTGTTTTTATTCCCACACTTATACAGCCTTCTTCCCTTTTCCCTGAACATTAGATAGGAGCAAGAGAAGGATAGGGCAAAGAGAAAGGAAGAGAAAACGAAATCCCCGAGTCTAACGTCTCTTACTCTGATTCCACCCTGACCAATCCAAGTAACAACTTTTAACCAATCCCCTTAAAGGAGGACAAATATAAATAACCCGATTTACAATCAAAACCATCCTCCCCACCTTTGGTGAATGGGGTGTTAGTCTCTTGAAATTGCTTCCTACTGTTTGGTGGTGTCTTTTCCTTATGTGTGTTCAACAAAAATTAGGATATTGGCTAGTGTTAAGGAAGCTGGTTGTACTGTTAGTTGTCCAAGTTCTGTTTCCTAAAAGGTGCAAGGCTTAAATCAAGGCCCTCGTGGAACAGTCTAAGAGTCTGGGCCAACTGGGATGTGTGATCAAACAGCTATTGAGGTAGTCTGAGGTTGAGCCTAGCAGAATGCTAGAATAAATATGTCTCAGGGTCATAGTATCCTACTCAGCTTCCTCAAGGATGAATCTTGTCCTGGCTTCTTTTACATCATTGGTATCTGTAAGCGTATAAACTTTTACAGGTAATACACATTTCTGTATTAACTTATATATGGAATATGAGGTGTGCCCAATCAGCTAAAGAGGATTTGGTGACATCTGTTTGAGCTGGTAGGCTTTTGCTTTTCTAAGTTTGCTTGGACTATATAACCAAAGTTTAATATGAATTTTCATCTATGCCATTTCAAAGGATGGCATGAATCCACCCTGAAGATTCTGTAGCCAACAAGATTTATTGGTAATATTTACCTGAAGTCCTGGCTAGAGACTTTTTCATGTCTCAGCAAGTCTGAGTGCAGTTCCCATGTAGAGGGATCAGCAAAACAAGTTACCTGTTTTGATGGTCTACGTGATTTCTTTCTTGTCTGTAGCAAGGATCTTCAGGAGGTCTCTCCCAGTCAAGTCTGAGTTTCATTAATTTTGAGAGATTCCACAGTTTTTCTTTTCCTGTTGAAACAAGAAGACATTCTCTCCCCCTCTGCTGTGCATTTACTGCCTTTTGTTCTCAGGTTATTACATATTTATACTTATCTATATCAGCAGTGCTTTCTAAGATCTAGTGATTTTTAGCAGCTGTATTATCTGACTCATTGGCATTTTAAAAATTCAGGTCAATAAAGCTTGATTTAAACTATCTTTGGGAGATCCCAGATCCCTCTTTTGTTCTATGAGCATTTCCTCTGGAGTCCTTGGGAGTGTTCAGTCATTGCTAGACTTGTAAGTTGGTAACATATAATATTTTTTGTGCCATAATAGGAAAAGTGTATTCTAATGGATACACATGTTAAAGCATCATCAGCTCCGGTCTCCAAAGGCATTTCCAAGATAGCCATTATCTCTAATAAATGTGCAATTTCAGAACTATCACTTTCATAACTCAAGGCTGAAGCTTCTTGGAAGTCTGAATATGTATCCAGTGTATGATGTATCAACATATATACATATTTCAAAAATTCAAACTCTACAAAATGGAACCCATAGTTAATTATATGTTATTGCTTTAATAATTTAACTTATTTAATTATAAGTCAAAATCTGGATTTTTAACTGAGAATATTGAGCCTCTACTGGCTATCCTTTTTATTCTTCAAGGCTTTGTGAAATTTTCTCCTCTGGAAATTCTGTTTTTGATCTCATTCTAGGTTCTGGATAGGATTCTTTCAAGTCTCTGTATAGTGATTTTAAAAATCCTCTCATCTCTGTTCTATGACCTCAAACCTAGAATTTCATCCTGTTTCTGTCTTATCTAAGTCAACTATATTCTGAAACTACTTAAAGGTGTTATATAAAACTACAATCATTACAGAACTTATAATCATTTCTTGCTTAAAGTCAAAACATAATTACATGGGGTCCGAATACCATCTGTCATTGTCTTTTTCTACATTTCTTAAAGCAAGAATATTTTTGTTTTACTCTCTAACTTTCTCCTTCCTTTTTGGAGAACTGATTATATTATTTATAAACAAATTATTCCTTTCTAAGAGTTTTAGACCCAGGTTCTTTTATCTTTTATTGTTTTCATATTCAATACATTTCCCTTTGAGAAATTTGGGCTTCTCAGTGCCACCACAACTCAGTGACATGTTCTTTCTGCCTTTCTGTCTTTTTGCAGGCTCCACAGGGGAGCACATGTCTATGGCAGCCGGCTTTCATCTCTCTGTCTGGTCCAGCAGGCTGCCCTTGACAGTTTTGGGGAAGAGCTTCTCTTTGTCCTGTATCTGCTGCCCACCCAGGGTTGTAGATCAGGCACTCAGAAAGCCACTGCATAGCTTTGGTCTAGGGGCATTGGAGGCTCTTCTCACAGGCACATGCTGGTTTCTGAGAGGCCCAGGCTGCTCAGTTCCTCTGCTGTGACTGGGAAGTGCATTAAAGCTGGAGCCTGAGAGAGAATTTTGTCAGCTCTGCACCCTCCAGCTCTTTTGCCTCATGAGCCTCCAATTACAGGAGCGGCACCTGGGAAGTGCACTGAGGGAGCAGTAGAAGAGCCCTTTTTCCTCTTCATCCTAGTTATTTATTTATTTATTTTAGAGCAGCCAGATTCTGCATTACCTCTCCGCGGTTCACGGCTCTTTTTCTATGAAATTGTCTTCCAACCAGGAGTTCTCAGGCTCTAAGCCTAACTTGTAGCCTCACAATCAGTATTCTATTGGTAACTACTGCCTTTTCTACCCAGCCTCGTTGTTCCCAGAATAACGACTCGTAGACTCAATAACATAAATGCGCAGCCCATAAGCACTGGCTTACTCACACACTAGCTCATAACTTATACAACTTATTTATTCTAGTCAATGTCTGCCACATTTTCAGTTACCTGTCCTCAGTTTCATGAGTCCACCTTCCTCAGATTTCAGGGTCAAACTCGTGCTCTTGCCTCTTTCCCAGGATACTCCTCTCTCTGCTGGTGGTTCTCCCTTCTGGTTCCTGCCTCAGCCAATAGCACATCAGCTT